AAAAAAAAAAGCTCGTAAAACGGTGAAAAATGAACGGATTGAATTGATTTTTTTATCATATCTCAGGAATGTCATTGGGCGGGTCTGATGAAAATTTCAAACCTTAAGTCGTAAAACGCTGGCGTCAGCAAGCGTTTTTCTCGAAAACGGTCGAAATTTTAAAACGCTCGCGGGCGAGAGGCAAAAATTTTCCGACCTTCGCCAATAATTTTCCCGAAGTCTGGTGACCGAGTACTTTCGTTGAAAAAAAAAATTTTGAAAATCCGAGCACGCTAAGTAATTTTCCCAGAAAAGCGTTTTTTTCCTTGTTCTATTATATAATAAGATANATGTGGTGTATTCATTCCGATTACGGGGGATGATTCCCGTATCATTTTTCGTCACTAGCCGTTTCTCAGACTCTCTCCCCGGAATCGAACCCTGTATTCCCGTTACCCGTTACAACCATGATATTGATAGTAACTATTATCATAACATAAAACTAAAAAGTAAAAAATAAATATAGTTTAAAAAAACTAAAAAACACGCTTTTAAAGCACATTGAACTAAAAAGTTTAAAATAATTTTTAAAACAATATTGAACGAAAAGTACTACTATTATTGTGATAAAAGCGTGTGTGCTTTGTGCCATATTTTTCGTATATTGAGCGCCCGACGCTTTTATCACAATAATACTAGTATTTTTCGTTCAATATTGTTTTAAGCTTATTTTAAAAATTATTTTGAACTTTTTAGTTCAATGTGCTTTAAAAGCGTGTTTTTTAGTTTTTTTAAACTATATTTATTTTTTACTTTTTAGTTTTATGTTATGATAATAGTTACTATCAATATCATGGTTGTAACGGGTAACGGGAATACAGGGTTCGATTCCGGGGAGAGAGTCTGAGAAACGGCTAGTGACGAAAAATGATACGGGAATCATCCCCCGTAATCGGAATGAATACACCACATATCTCTTAATGAGAATAAAGCGTATTAATATATAAGTTTTAATAGTAATTAGAATATATATATACATATAAAGGGACTTAAGTAAGTAAACGTATCATGCATGAGGTATAGCCGTATTTTGTGGGCGGGGGGAACATTATACACGAGGCATATACGGCGGCAGAGGCGTCGGCTGTAGGAATATTCAAATGAATATTAACATATACGTATAAATATTAATATATATATATTAATATTAGCGGTGGCGGTAGGAATATAATGATCTTCGCATAATATCGCGGCACTTTTGCTGTCGTTGACGACGCGATGTCCGGCGTGATCCTCGGGCGTCAAAAGGTTAGCAGTGTAGATGTAGACAACAGTGCGCGAGTGCGGATCGGTTTGTTGACGTCACTTTGACAACGAGAAGAAGACTACGGTATCATTAACGGCGGGACGTCGTCGGCCGTGCGGCACTTGCTGGACTTTGCACCGTGGCGTAAAACGACGCGGGGCTGTGTCAATTACAATAAAAATTTGTTATATATATATATATAAATGATGACACGCGCGCGTCTACGGGTTGAAAAATATTGTTGTCTACGAGTGGTGAGCGGGGTGGGGCGAATGCGTTACGACAGTCTAGTCTCAAGGTCATACACAACGGGATACGCGACATAATAACACGTGCCGCGTGGAGTTACAAACTTACAACATACAACATACACGTGAAACTAATATAAGCGTGTTAAAAATAAAAATATTTTGATCTATTTAGTAATGTTTTATTTACTATGTATTAATCTATACACCACCCAACCAAAATACATTATCAATTCAACATAAAATACTTGGTACTGTACTAAGTACAACTTTTCAGTTCAATGTGCTTTAAAAGCGTGTTTTTTAGTTTTTTTAAACTATATTTATTATTATCACTAGCCGTTATTGAAAAGGCGATCTGGGCCATGATACGCGGCGCAATCTAGTTGTGAATATATAAAACAGCTAATTTTTTAAATAAAAAATACCTAAAATAATTAATTCTCAATAAATAGATAGCACT